CTTGTTGTATTTTAATGATATTATACTGCAGACTAGCACTTTTTGTATTTTAATAATATTATAACTATTTATAATGCTCCCTAAATAATAAAAAAAAATTATAGTAATGGAGTTAGTAAAGTTAGTATAGTAAAGTTTTCCCCAAAACTTTGTCTTCAAAATAAGGGTGCGTCTTATATTCCGAAAAACACGGCAAGTATATTAGTAAGCTCTCAATCTGATTTAGGAAGCGTTCTAGCTCTAGCCGTAACACAATTGTATATAATTTTTCTCTAGGACACTTCTATCTCTTGACAATAAACTTGTTTTCATACTTCTTCCCAATAGACTTTTTTTTTGCATGTCTTTTATATTGCAAATATATATATAACAAGGCACTAGTATTGCTTTCTTCAGGAATACATTTTTTCTGATTAAATTTAGTTTTCATTTTAATGAGAAACAGATAAATAAGACTAACAGTTCCTCACTTTTATCTTTTTATTTTTCTGAAGACAATTCACATACATGTTCATAAGTCAGACATTATGGCACATCAGTGTAAATGCTGAAACGGTAGAATATTCATTGTACATCTGTAAAAAATTAGACTTAATAAACAAATAAAATAATACCATAAGACAAAAAAAATGTAAGATTATAATGTGGTACACAATTAAATAATCCATTTTATAAGAAATGTAAATTTTGATAGTTAATATACCACTTGCCAATATCAATATTCTTTAATCCCCCCACTGTCCCTGAGTAACTACAGAAACTTTACAATTCTGCTATTATGTGACCTTTACACATAGAGTCAGCGCAATACTAAATTAACGATAAAAAGTAAGGAGTAATTACTGAGGTAGAAAACATAACCAAAGAAATAAAAAGGCATACATTGAACATGAGCAAAAAAAAAAAAACTGCATTGATTTAGGACTACAGACTTTGAAATACCCGTGATGTTTCAGTGAAGAACATTTTCAGTCAGAAAACTGGGTTCAATTGTCTCCAAGAATAAACTCAATAAACTGTAACATTTCTGACTGAATCGAAAAACAAAGTTATAAAACAAAAAAACAAACAAACTAAAGAATAAACTTGAAACACAATTTATATGGGATTAAAATACCTAAAGGCATGAAATGTGACATATTACACATTTCTATGCTGGAAATCTTAAAATCCCATTCTTCTAAAAGTATCTTAATGCACGCACAACATTTACATGCTCATGAACATTTGAAAATTTGGCACAACCTCCTGTATCCTGAACTATGCAGAATATTATGTTTGTCTCAGCAAGAGAATATAATACATTCATAGACATATAACAACAATGTATAATGAAGTTGTTACAGGAAATACCCCAATGCTGATGGACACACATAATTAATTATTTTGAAACAGACACTGCCAACCTATTAGAAAAAGGATATTGTTTAAGTAGCAGGACTGGGATCAACAAATATGTGGTGGCTGGCAATATTATATCCTGTTGGGAAAGCAAATAAAGTAGGGAGGCCAGCATGATTACTGCCATATAAATTTTGCCCATATGAGTCATCGATACGACCACTATCTATGTCTGACATAACAAGACCTCCCTTAATACTGCTAGATCCCTGCAATTTACTGTTTATACTTGCTGAGAAAGGATCAACTTCTGTTATCACATTGGATGGTGTTGTAGTAACTCCAAAAGCAGGGGAAAAAAAGGGGTACAATGATGAACAAAACGATGCAGGTGAAGTGAAGTTATATGTATTGATAATATTTGTATATGTATTCATAGATGTGGTCGTATTCAATAAAAAAGGCTGCGGCTCTGTTGACTCTTCGTTAACAGTGTTCTCTCTAGTCTCGTTCAATGATGTCCCCGCATTCCCAGAGTCTGGGGGTAAGGTGCCTTCTTGATGGTTATCATTTGAACTTTCTGATACTGGTGTTAACTCTGCCATTGAAGGTGATGTCTGTGATGGCGATGCTTGATGAGAAAATACTGAAGCTGAATTGGTGTTTTGCCTTTTAAAAGGTGAAACAAGAGAAGGTGGTTGAGTGTATTGGTGTGTGTGAGATTCAGTACTTGGTACTGGGTAACTGGGAAAAGAAGATTGGCCTTGGACAAAACCAACATTATCAACAGAATGCTGATGAGGGGCCTTACTGCTTTTACATTCTTGCTGTGTAACTTCTTGGCTATAAAAGGCACTATATCTGGTCCCATTCAAAGGACTGTGCTTGTTACTTGTGGTGCCTGGATATCCTAATTGATGTGTTTCTTCCTTTGTTGCACATTCTGGATTTTCTTCTTTTGTTTCCTTTGAAAATGAACTTTTAAATGAAGTTTCATGCGCTGAGAATTGACCTGTTCCATCTACTCTTGATGCTACACGAGACTGCCAGTGTGGAGACATTCCTCCTCTTGGGTGAGCATAAGCACGCATTGCTTCAGAAATAGGAGGTAATGGCCCAGACATTGTTCCTGGTGGAGTCATATATGAGGGATGCCCAATTCTTCCTCCAGGGATGTTCTGACTATGCACTAGAGAAGGAGACAATGATTGGTTATCAACATATGGCTGATCACTAGGATTTCCAGATGTTTCCAACTGATATGATTCTGTACATCCTGGTCCTGAAAATGCCTCTTCCTCTTGGCTCTGATGATTGTGCATCAGAGACTTAAGCTGATTATGCATAAACTGATGCCTTCCCGATTCACTTATTCCTTCTTCATTTATAAGATTAATTGACAGCGGGTTTCCCTCTCCAATGTCAGTTGGAGGCAAATGACCATTATAAGAAGATAATGATGGTGGTGGATTTTGATGAAAATTACCATACTGTGAATTAATTTCAAACATTTGTTTTTCTCCTTGAAGTGGGGATTGTTTCTGACCTCCTCCTAAACTATAGTTTGGAGCTAAATAGGGTTGCATCTGTGAAGGAAAACAATTATTGTTACTATAATATAAAGTCTATAAATAAAATATATATTACACACTAATACAATTAATAATCTGAAAAGTAAAAAAACCAAACAGAGAAATTCTGAGATGCATTAAAATAGAAAAAAGATATCAATTTTTTACTTTTCATATACAAATGAAGATATTTTGTAAGTTAGACAAGTTACATGCATTTTTGTTGGGTACTTTGATACTTCAAGAAATGATTTTTTTCATTTTTATTAAATGTACTGTGTAACACTTATAAATTGACTGTGTCAAGTATTAAATGCATCACTTATTTGCTGAAAAAAAACTTGATAGGATTTAAATTCTTATATTATGAAAAATGTTAGCAAGTGATCAGCCTATATTGTAAAATGATTTGACTAATTAAAATTGTGGAATTTTCATCTTTTAAATTTCTGGGATCATTAAATGTATAAAACAAATTGTAAGATTAATGTAAATATATATATATATATATACACACATTTCACACTGAGGTAGCTAGTGGTGTATAATTAATCAACTTTTTTCTTTTTTATACAAAGGTTTTCATGTATTTGCTATATTAATACCAATTCCATAAATTGAATTTTTATTCAATAGGTAAGTAAATGAAACTCGCATACAACAGTAAATAACAACCAAAACAAATATCTTATCAAATTGCCTCTAAAGACACAAGTTTCATCAATGTACAAAAATCATCTTTAAAGGAATTATTTAGTGAACATTACAAATGTTGATGAAAAGCTGCAGATTTATGTCATTATGAAAAATTAAAATTACATCTTTTAATATCTTGATTTGAAAAATTATGAAACAAAATGCATTTGGTGATTTACTTTGATTTCTTATAAAATAATTCAGGTCATATATTCCTACAAGTTTCAGATGTTATTAACTATTTAGCTTAATAAGACAAACATTCATTTTACAACTTAAAAATTCTAAACTGATCATATCTGTTTATTCCTTAAACTAAATATGGTATACAAGGCCTAACATTAATAAACAATGACCATAAACAACTGTTTTATTTTTGTCAAGCAGAATAGAATATTTCAAAATGTGGCTGTTTGTTATATAAATAAAATTTACCTTATCTCTCAAAATATGAAACAGTAATCACGAATACGAGTTTAATTAGGCAGAACATAAACTTATGACGAATTTTAATTATATTTAATAATTTGTTTCATACATCAATACAACATGAACAATGAACTTGAAATACGAATTCTGTATATTAACTTAATTTTCAAAATGAAAATCACAACATTTATCACGTTGCTAGACAATACTTTTCACAACAAATAATTGCAAAAAACAAAAAGTAACATAATGCAATGACTACAGTACATGGACAGTAGCAAGTATTTTTGCAAAATGTATGTAAACATATTCGTCTTAAACATGAAACTCTGCCTAAAAAATTTAAAATCATCCACGACTGAAAAAGTCATAGATAATAAAAGTAAGTACATACATTCAAAGAATTTATTAAAATAAAAATTAGAAGTTTAGAAATGTACATATGGACTATGGTCAGGCCCAGTATAGAGTAAGTTTAATTTAGAGTGATGACCAACTCTACTCGAATTTGAAGTACATTGTCGTTGGTTCTATTCATGATCACTACTTTAGTGAACAAAAAAATAGGACTTGTATAAAGACAGCTGGAACCAAAAATGTTTTTCTAAGTGCCATGTGCATACACAATAATTTTTCAAGTCAAAACTTGGCGCTAGTTTCTCAAAACTAATAGTGTAAGTGTATACAAAAGGAGTTTTGTATTATTTATAAGCTGCCAGAACACAGAGTTTAAGATGGCGTTTGGTATAAAAATGCACTTTTCACTGCACGTAAAAGCCAGTTGTTGACTATGCTTTACTGAAACCGCACTATTTACAAAAGTAATAAAAAATGACCTAAAATTTCACACTATAGAAAATATTTTGCAAAAAAAAAAAAAGTTCCAAAGCTTAAAATGCATAATTATACTGACTTATAACGTTAAAGTTATACAAAAAAAGCAGTAAACCTTTACTTCTACCAGCGTTTGGCACTGAATTTAACAAGGCAGGTACATTCAACGATAGAGCATCAAACCAGCGGGAGAGAAGAAATGTACTCATCACTTGAATAGTAATGAAAAGCATCTGTACAATGAAATATTGCAGAAATTATCTATTTTTATTAATAAACAAACAAAAAAAAAATGGTAATTTTACTATAAAACAACTAATAGAAAAATCTTAAGAAAAACCAAAATTTAGAATTTAAATCAGTCTTGCACAAGTATGCTACAAATACACATTATTAACTAAGCATAATTTGAATTATTACCAAATGAATCAGCGACAGGGGATAATAAATATATTTATACAGTGCTTTGCTTGTTATTGCAGCTATAATCAGGTTATAAGTCATGCAAATTAGAAGAATACTTTATATATCTAATACGCTATTTTAAGAAAAGGAAATAATTATACTCTTTGCTTTGTAAAAAACATAAGGGGCAAGCATAGAGGATCCATAGTGCTAAAAAATATCATTCACTTTGTTCAAGATTTTCAGTTTGATCCAGTCAGGTTTATATTCCCATACGCGTGTACTCTGTTGCGACGATGTAAAAATGAATTAACTTCTTTCTCAATCGGAGACTGCTAATACTAGCACTGATAAAAATGGCTCCAGCAGTTATGCACACTGGGGAAATTATTCCGTAAAAAACATAAACATATACTATTCTTTCACTCAGAAGCTCTTAGTGTAAATACAATTTTGCTGTATTTTTCCCTCTTTTGGGTAAAAACAGTGATTTACCCCAATTTATATTACTTATAGCGTAATTTTCCCAGGATTTTGTAATTTGCCGATACCGTATACTCTCAAACTGCATGTCGTACGTTCCGCCACATTGTTCAACACTTCAAAGTTATGGCTTTTTGTTACATATTCAAAATTAGTATATCCGTTTGACACTCACTCTGAAAGTCTCAAATTTAAAGAAGTGTTAGAAATTGTGAGAAACTGTCCATATAAAACATATGCAGCAGCAGCAATAGTACATATTTGTCGTACTTTCAGTAAAACATTAGCTAGTCACGACTGGATACATTTTTAAATGTTAATAATACGCTTCATAGAAAAAACAATACACAGAACTATGTAATTATCTACTTTAATATATGATAATGTCGTATTGCTCTACCTAATTTTTAAGTCAAATATGAACAACGAAAAATAGACGTTTAGCACAAATGTATAAACACATGAATAGTGATAACAGATTACCCCTGCCTTATCTAATTGATATTCAGAATGACGCATTGAAAACTTTGACTAAGGTTAATCCAATTTTTTGAGTAGTTTCGTTGAACTTCATTTGATTGTATAAAGCTTTGCAGTTTGTTGTAGATGTAAAGATTTGCCGTCGTTGGATGCTGTCAATAACTTAAGCTAGCATGAGTCAGCTATGTTAAATCGGCAGAAATTGAAAATTAGAATTGAGCACGTGACCCTGTTCGGAAACTTGATGAAATATTGATTGGGATGAGCTCCCAATGTAGCAACGTATGATTAGTAAATTTAGCACGTCATTACAAAACATAATGATTTTAGAATTAATTAAGTTTTAAGTCTACAGAAGCTTGGGTTGTGAGAACCTATTAGTGTGCAAACAACGAATTCATGGCAGTGGTTACACACACACACACACACACACAAAAGACAAAAGTTGTTTACCTTCCCTGCAACTGTATAACAGTGCAAGATACCAGCGTACCTTTAAGTGTACAAATAAGCCGTAATTAAAAATGTGTTTATTTACTAGCGGTGGCTTGCGCTTAATCCAATATATCTGTGTTCATATATCTGTTTGAAAATCAAAATTACTTTGGGCACACAAAACATACTGAATAAAGAAACACTAGTTTATTCACGTAGTAATACGAATTTGCTTAGAAAATAAATTAGAGTATAGATAAAACATTTAAAAAAAAAGGGCTAGTTCTGAAGGTTTTTAATCTATTACTCCTAAAGTAATAATAGCAGTTTGAAACAGAAATAGCTTTGAAGTGTCAAATACACACATAACGGTAAGTAATACAAATAACCATAGCAATAGATCCCATTCGTGCGAATCAAGCATTGGCTGTATAACTAAAAGTAATAGGAACATTCCCATTTAACTTTTCAGGGGCGATACTTATCAACTGGTTTGCAAGTGCGCACAGCATGCAGAGTTTTAACTGCTATTCAATGGTGGACATCTGGAGCAAACACGTGAGAAAGAGCACAGATGGTTCGTGTTTACTTCAAGGTCTACGCTTAAGAGCTTACTTTTGACAACAGAAGACTTCCTACAAAGGGCAAAGTAGTCATCTGGTTCACTGTGTCACTGTCAAGCGAAGGTAGAAAACTAAAAGTCTCCACATGCCTTATTTATGTACAATCCTACACAATACTCATACAAATTCTAAGTGGATCTATTTATTTATAATACATATAACTATGAACTTCTTAACAGTACTAGTTTGGCACGTAATATCTGGAAGTTATATATTATTAATTCAAACATAAAAAAATTTTCCCGTTTTAAAATTTTAAAAGCGTTTTCGAATCTTATGATATGATTAACTGAGATTACTAACAGTAACTTTTAGTGCTAATCTGAGCTTATATCAAACGGATTTAAATGTAACAATGTGGAAGGTGTTTTGGGTTAATTTTTTTTTTTTTTTTGCATTTAACCTTTGTGAATTACATATATAGGTCATCGTTAAAACTATGCATTTGCAAGAAAAAAGTATTAAAAATGCTTAAACATTTAACTGTACATATATTGCCATAAGAATTTGATTTTTCAGAATTATGTGGAAATTTCTACCAGAAGAGTAGCTAAACGTCTTCAATAAAAATACAGTTAATAATAATCATTATTAACTATTAGTGACAGGCAAGCCGTAGAAAGCCTCTATGGCTATCCTGCCTTAGATTGTCAGCTTGGTATCCTCGCTTTTAGAATTGTTTCGGGTGTGTTACGTTGCGTTAAGGTTTGGTGATGAAGATCGTTTAATATGAAGAGAATACTTTTAATTTTATAGATGTGTTTAAATGTTAAATATTTAGAAATTCCAGGGGCAAGTCTCTAAATCAGAATCCATTGGTTTTTCATTTTGGATATTTTGTAATATACAAGAGTTATAAAATAATCTAACCCTTTGTTGTTCCAGAGGATTGTGTTGCTGCTCCGGACCTTGTTGGCCTGAGAAAACTACTGTGGTTTCACCATTTAGGTTTCGTCCCATTTCTTCCATTGCAGGTTGAACACACTTTGGAATCTCTTTCATCATACTACTGGAAGCAGAGCTGGCGGCCTAGTAAAGAATATCGTGACTGTCATTAACGAAACATGAAATTTGTTCCCTAGTCAACAATATTTTGAGTATAATTGTGTTTATTTTATAATCCCTACACGATGAGTCACGTTTCCCCTCCGGAATTCATGCAACCCTGCGTTTTAAAATGGTATACCCCTAGCCATAAACACCGAGAGAAGGTATGCTGCCTCCCAAGTAGATGCATACGTTATTGATTTTTACGTTGGAATCTTGCACTTGAAGATGATTTTCTACACGATAGGTAACCTAAGTTGTTTTCCTCCCTACCAAAAACATTTGTTTTAATTTATTTGTGGCACATTTGAGGTTTTAAGACAGAAAACACAAACACACGCACAAAAGTGGTATTCGCAATTTTGATGAGCATACACACACACACATACATAGGACAGAACAAAAAGATAGTCACAAGGAGTATGTGACACAAAAATGTACGCATTCCTCAGTATATATGTGCCAAAAACGGATTCTATACATATTAAACGAAGTTTCGAAAGAAAAACTGCTACTTCTAATTTTCATGTTGTTTTTTTTCAAAATAAATTAATTATACTTTGAACGAACATAACCGTGTAATATATATATACTAAACATAATATTTACGTTAAGTATATATAGAATCTTCAGTAACAAACATTGCTTAAGTAAATACGGATAAAAAATTATTTAAAATATGCTCTTATAGCTACTGTGAAGAAATTCTGTGCTTTAACACCCGATTCTTGTTTTCTAAAACAGGGTTTGAAGACTAATAATAGGGAAATAATAATATTTTTGCCGGTATCTGAGATTATTTTTTGCTTAAGGACAATTTTTTCTGTAATATAAAGTTGGTATCACAATTGTATGATTGTATTAGTTTTCTATGGAAAACAGACCAAGTATTTGAAAGGAATGTTTCTTCTCGTGTAAGTCACATAGTGGCACAGCGGCATGTCTACAGACTTACAACGCTAGTAACCGGGTTTCGATACCCGTGTTGGGCAGAACACAGATAGCCCAAACTATCAACTACAAACAAACAAACAAACTTATCGTATTAAATATCAGCTGTGTAAATGAATAAGTTGTATTACCATTGTTTTTAAAACTCTTTTTACCAGACAACACTATGCTGTAAAAAATAAAAAAAACAGCTGTTAATAAATATAAAAAATATAATAAAACAAACATCCCAGTTAAAAAAAAACATTTAAAATACATAATATACAGGTTAGGCTATCACATGCTATGACGCCAATTATTGGGTGGGGAGGGTATTGCACACCCCAGAAGAACCTGATAATAAAATACCAGTTTTACGCTTATACTGTGTGAACCGTAAAGCTACAGTTGAGTGCAATGTAAAGGACACATATTATTATAGTTTTACTTCCGAAAAATCTACGAACTTCCAGAAACTTTAGCTACCCCTGGACTTCCGATAGAAAAATTAAATATCAAAACAGCATTGCTGAATATATTATCATTTCGCTTTTTCACAACCATATACTTTATTTGCGATGGCTTGTTTTTATTATAAATATTGGAACAGTAACAGCGTCTAAAGAAGTTTTTCTAATTGTCAAGGAAAAAGCAGAACTCCTGAAAACTACTAAATGTGGAGGGATGATTAATAAAATTGTATATTTATATTTGTTGTATTTAAATTACAAGGTTTATTGCAAAAGAATATTAACTTGGTATCTATTAATTATGCGAAGAAAAGAGATCCTTATTGAATTTGACAAACGTTATAATGAAGAAAAAAAATCTCCAAAGTAAACCTTAGTTTTCTGAAGCATTTCAATCAAGGACAGTAAACACAACAATAACTAACGAACACTATTCATGAACAACAAAGGTATATATATGAAACAAATGAAAACAATGTAATTGTTAAAATTTATAGAATATATATATCAAAAGTCAAAGGTGGTAGTTTTTAAGATGTTTTTAAACAAAGGTAACAACGGATGACATGACTTGTTAAAGTTGGTGAGCTATATCATAAACACAAACAATTTACAAAAGCAAACACCCAATTAATATTAACTTCTGATCAAAGCAAGCTATCTACATAGATAGGGACTAAAAACCAACCCAGTAATGAAAATAGCTAATTAAGTTTACTGTCCATTCAATTTGCTATAATGATTAGAACGTATTATTCTAGCATTTGAATACATTCGCTGTTGACGATACTTTCGGCCGTAGTTCCAATAATATCTCACGAGATTCGAACACCTTACAAGAATTAGAGTAATCCTAAATCCATATACTAAGCTAACCATGCAAAGTTATATCTATAATAAAAATAAATAAATAAATGTAATAAAAGTAGCATTAAAGAAGAATACAGTATAACTTATGACAAAACACATAAATACTAGTGGTTTGCTTCTTGCACTGTCGTAAATTACATGTTCCGTGAAGAACTTCACATCGTTGTACGCAAAGCTCAATATAATCTTCTCTAACAACGTCTTGTGATCAATGAGAACCCACTAAACGGTTCCAACAGTGTAACTTTAGTGCAGCTTGACATCTGAGATAAATTACTAAGACACATGTTACTGTTTAGCTATAGCGTAGGGTAGCAGGACAGCACAGCAATAAACTAATGCTTATAGAAATAAAAATAATAGGTATTCTTTGAAAATTCAAAATTAAGTGCATCAATTTCTTAATAAATCTAATATCAGCTTCTGATTTAGCAGGAATGAAAAGTCGGTTTTCCAAAGACTACAGTTACATTAACGACACCCCTATGTTGGAATGTGCAAATCACAGTAGTAAGAAAACTAAATCTTACTAAAAACATTGAAAACAACTTTTTTTTTTCTGAAAAGAATCACACTGACTTGAAACAAATATCTCAAGAAACAGAAATAAAAGCACTCACTCTTTCTTTCTTGGTTTTAAGTTGGTCACACTTCCTCATCTTACATATTTGATGACTTCTAACGCTTTTACAAGGCCCACATTCGCCACAGTTATCTTTTTTTAAGCATCCTGGACATTCACCGCAACGTTTTCTCTTCTTTTTTGGTTTCTCAGTGGCTTCAGGAATAAGGGTAATTGGAGGAGGTGGGATATTAGCAATGTTGATTGCTTCCCATTGTTCTACTGGTGCTACCATTGACGGAAGAACTTGCCTTGGAGTAGTTGATGAAACAGAAGGCACTTGGAAAGAGTTCTCAACATTTGCTCTAGCTTCAGAAATAGGGGAGTCTTGTTCCATTTTCATATGTTTTGGACTTGGGAACCCAGAATTGGCAACAGGATGGAACATATGCTGTTGATGCCCGATATGGGACATAAAGTTTTGAGGCAACTTGTATTGGAGGGAATTTGGATTTCCAAAAGGAGGAAGAGCCATATTAGGTGTTGGTGAGTTGGAAGACGAAAAGTGTGGCTCTGAAAATCCCGTGTTTTGACTGCGATGGTGGGGATAATAAGATTTTCCTCTCTCGACTGTGTCTTGGATCTTTTCATTCTGCGACCATAACTCTTGCATACGCCTACTTTCAAGTCCCGGAGAAGCCGAAAAGTGTGACGATGGTCTCGAAGGAGGGCCGCTTTGTTCTCTGGAACCAGTGAGTAGGTTTTCGTTTCCTTTTTGTTCAGAATGTTCCTGTGAATTACCGTCATTTGATTTTCTATTTAGTGACAACATTTCCTCTTGTGTTATTGAAGAATTATAACCTCTTGTAAGTTCGTTTTGTGGTTCTTGTAGGCTTTTGTTCTTTGGTTGTCCTTGTCCATTTTCTTTTCTCCAGGCTTTATAGCTTAATTTTTCTGATCCGTCCGACACAGAAATTCCTGGACTTGATACTTTATTAGTAGTTGAAATTGCATGAGAAATGTTGTCAAAATGTCTAGATTTTAATTCACCAGTTGATAACCCTTGACCTGTCAAAGAAACTGGGCTTTCTGAAGTTGGTGTTTGCCTTAGAGGTTCAGTGTGAATGTCATGAAAAGTATTGGGATAAGGAGGACCAGGAGAATGATATGCAATGTTTGAAGCTAACGGTTCGCTTGTTTGGAAATGAGGCGCAGAATAATTCGAAGCACTAGTAACATATTTACTAAACAAGTCCTGTCCACGAGTATCCATCTGTGAATGTGGTTGATTAAATGAATAAGTAGATATTGAAGAAGAAGAAGGAAGGGATCCCATTCGTGGAGAATAAGATGACGATCTGGCAGGATCGATAAATGAATATTCTGAAGGTCTACTGATCATGGGATAATGTGAAGAAATTCCATGAGGTTGTCCTTGTATCCACGGCTCCTGACCGCTGAATGTGTTCGATTCTGAACTTTCTTCCATTGATTGGGGTTGGGTGACCTGATTTTCGGGCAAGGCCAAGGGCACACTGACCTGCTTCTTGTCGTCCATTCTTAGGAAGCTCTAATCTATAAAAGACCATTTTAAACTTTAATATTTTTCTAAATACATTTAGGCATACAACAGTTTAAAATAAATGCCTGAAAATTCCAATGTAATAAATATCTAGCTCAATAACGTAGGGATTATGAACGTTAAAGCTGACATTAGAAATTTCATAACTGTGAATTATAGTAAATATATTAAGACGTCTAATACATACGCTTAATAAAACTTGAAACTAAGTGAAAACATTTGAAAAAGTGCACAATAAAATTATTATATTACGTAATACTGAACAAAACTTATAAATATGATGAATATTAGACTTTATCCAAGCTCTTGCGACACTGCATTCGTATACAATATATAGATGTTTGTTAAAGCCCCTTCCAATTAAAATATTTAGTGGCCGAAGCTCATATACGTAACTTGAGTCTTTTAATTCAAATGTACCTCCGTAACACGGGCTGGTGGTTAAAGAGCTAGATTCGCAATCTGTGGGGTCGCGGATTCGAATCTCATCATTGAATATGCTTGCCCTTTCAGTTATGGGACGTTATAATGTTACAGTCAACCCCACAATTCGAATAGGGTAGCCCAAGAGATGGCGGTGGGTAATGCTGACTAGCTGCCTTCCCTTTGGTCTCTCGTTTCTACATTATGGATGGCTAGCGCTGATAGCCCTCGTGTAGCTTTGCACGAAATTCAACAACCAACTAACCAACGTACGTTCTTATGTTCTTACACTTAAAATTGTATTATAGTTATTTAAAAAGAAAAGCATTGTTTACTACATACGACTATATTATTTCTTTCTTTCAAAAAATGTTTTATTAATGATCGAAACAGCACTATCAAAATGATTTTTTTAACGTTAAGACATGCTTACCTTTTCATAGTGTTACAAATAAATATTTAGCGTAAATATGATTTTATGTGTAAAATGTTAAACTGTAAAGCTGAGAATAATATGGAACTCAAGTACGGTCTGTGGATATTATAATTCTTGTTTTCGGTAACATGATAAAAAACAAAACAAATTCCAACAGGTTTTATGTTCACTATGATGGAAACAATATGGCGAAATATTTTAAAAACAGATCACTTGAAAGTAAAAAAAAAGTGGCGATAAAGGTTTAAAATTTGATAAGTGTAAAAGTATGTCTTAAAGTCATCCAAAAATAAATATATGAATAACACATTTTCTTCTCGCTTTACTATTTATCGTGCTATTTTTATATGTGAATACTTTTGACACTAAACTAGTTTGTACTTAACAGTTGTCATTGGTTTTAAAGTTTTATAAGGCAACAATACAAAAGTGTTCCTCATTTATTTATTTAATATAAATTTATTACATATAATACCTCAACATGAAATTTAATTTCGAAATTGTAATTGAGGGTCATTCAAATATTCAAAGTCTTCCTTCCGTACGTTAAGCCCCCCCCCCCCTCCAGTGGCACAGTGGTATGTCTGTGGACTTACAATGCAAGAAACCGGGTTTCGATACCAGTGATGGGAAGAACACAGAGACCCCATTGTGTAGCTTTGTGCTTAACTTCAAACAAACAAATAAACCGTACGTTAAATATAAAATATACACGTTGGGGGAAGGTAATGTGTATATATTTAGATCATAAACTCTCGTTGTGACAAAGTTTTGGATTTTAAACAATTACTGTGCTAAACGTGTTCATTTTTTTAGTTTGGTAATAGTTTTTCAAAACTAACACAATTTTAAAAGCAGCTAATGCAACTTATTCTGTTTTTTGTTTTGTTTTTCTGAATAACTTGTGTACTGTCTGGTTCTGACGAAAACAACACGCACACACACACACACACACACATAAACGGAGCAATAAGTATCTCATGAACTAGTGCTTTACCAAAAGCGTTTTGTGTGGGCACCACACTAAGTCAAGTCCAATTTCAAAAGCTTTTTGTGGATTTCAAGAATTAGCTTGCCCAGCCTGTAATACTTCCCTCAGGCTAATCTAGCAAGGTAGTTGCTGAGAAGAATGTTCTGGGTTAGTAAAGCTATTATATGATGCCTTTTTGAAGAAGAAGGCACATATGAGTAATGATGGTGCCTCAGATCCTTTTAAACACAACAGTGCTTTGCAATTCATGCATTTTTGTAACCTGTAACACTTTTAAACGTTTGTCAGAAGTTCAAATCTATCAAGAATATACGAGCTATACAGATGGTATTATAAATTCTTCCACATGTTCATACTCATATTTCAGTGAATATTTTCTAGTGTTTGATGATCAGTCAGAAATATTGCAGTGTTCAAGTGACAAAAAAATTTTGTTTGTTTTGTAACTAAGCACAAAGCCACACAATGGGCTATCTGTGCTCTGCCCACCAGGGGTATCGAAGCCCAGTTTCTAGCATTGTAGGTCCGCAGATATACCGCTGTACCACTGTGTGTGTGTGTGGGGGGGGCTGTCAAAAAATCCTATGGATGTAGAGTTTGCTCCTTAAAAAACAGTTCAGAAAATAGTATAATAAACTGAAAAGAACATACAAAATAAATCTTCTATTCAAGCTATGTTTTCTCACCAAGGATCATTATTTTGAAGCATAGTATTATTAAATTCTTGGGTTTGCGACAATAGTGTTAACAACGGTAGTGGATCGTTTTATAGATGGTTTTATTCGTGTAATAAATCGCATGCAAAATCAAAAGAACATAATCCCGAAGTAATGAACAGCTATCGTTAAATACTTAGCTATGAGAGTGCCTTAATGATTCGTTCATTATAGGCGCTAAGTTACAAACAGGTCACAAAATGGTGTCAATTGTTAGCAGCACAAAATTTTGCAAACTTGTTACGGTTTATTACTAAAGTTCAAGGTTGTGAAAAATTTTAAAACGCTGGGTATGTTATTGGTATAGTATTGTGTTTCACTCGTTCGTATATAAAATATTTGTGAAAAATTCGAGAACGTCTTATTATTTTCCGTTTCAAGTTGATCCTCGACCAAGAGCACTTAAGCTTATCCTTTTATCTCCAAATTGCTCGAATTCTTCTATCTAAATACGTTTGACTATTAATCGTTAAACACGCGATACATTTATGTATGGGTGAACTTGGGCAAGTCTAAAAGGTGTCTCAGAAACTACTAGAAACGATAAGCTGAAAACCAAATCACGAAAAGTATGAAACTGATGTTCAGTTTAATCAATCATTAAACTGAACAATGGTATCCCGGTGGCTCAACGACAAGCTTTAGGGCTGATAAGCTAAATTTCGGTGCTTAAATTCTGTGGTGGGCACTGCGCAGATAGCCCATTGTGCAGCTTGGCGCTAAAACAAAGAAAAAAAAACCAGATAAATATATAATAACAGCCTAAAGCGATATCTAAGATTTGTAAAGGAGGTTACGAAGTTTCTTGGAATTATTTCTTACATACGTTATTTACTATTTTTTGTAGATAAACTATGTCTTATTTCTGGTCAACATAGTACAAAATAATAATAATATAAACATGTCAAAATAAATAGAATCTCAAGAAAAAATTCAGATAAATATTCTAAAATGAAAACGGGTGTTTAGATATGTATCCCCCCCCCTCAGTGGGTAAGCGAAAGTTTAAGACGCTAAAATTCGGGGTTAGACCGCAGTGGTAGGCACATTGCAGATAACCCATTATATAGCTTTGCGTTTAACAAAATAAACAGAAGGAATTTTCTCAAAATAATATGTTTTGAACTTTTAAAAATTCAAGTTGCTCTGTCGTCGATATATTGCCACACTTAGTTTTAGCAAATTATTTAGCACAGAGTCATGACAGAGTGAATACTCACTCAGTGGTCACACAATGCCTGTACCTCTCGGGGTAGGGACGATTCAGAATGTCTTTGCTACAAACTAAAAATAATTTGGGAGTAATTTTGTTAACTTGCTTATGAAAAATGATTCAACATAGATCACGAGCTCTGAATGAATGTTCACATTTTGTGTTCAGTAGACTAGTGCTACGGTTGTAAACATCTGCCAGTTATGTACCGTATAACTAATAGAGGAAAATAGCTTTTATTAATACGAAGTGGATTTGTAAAAAAAGATTTGCGCAGCCGAAAAAATCAACGAAAACGTGACTACCACCATGAAATAAACCGGAGACATTAATGGTATTCTATATTTTTAGTCCGAACTTATAATTTTGTGATGAATGTTACTTTTTTCGTTATGTTTTAATGAAAATCGTTTAGTCGAAATTTTGCCAACATTTCTGTCTTATAACTTCGTAAAACCATTTTTAATCTGTACCATTAGCTACTAACTGTTTTCCAATTCCTATCTAGACTCTCATGCAAAATAATCAGATGTTAAATAGGTATTTAGTAATTTATCATGGCATTCCGTACTTAGATCTTTTTAATATTACAGATAGAACCGACGAATAAAAGAAATCCTAAAATGTACGGTAAGTTCAGTAAATATAATTCAGGATTTCTCTCTGTTAAGAGGCAAACAAAATTCTTTCCAGTTAACCATAGCTAGCGCGAGGCATGCGTACTAGTTGCTTTTGCTTAGGGGGCCTTGCACACAGAAAAATAAAATATTGGTAATAATGCAATTATAAAACGAAATATAAAAGAAAAAAAAAGTATTTCACAATGTAATATATAAATTTAACAATAACAACTTTAGAAGTACACAATTAACAGATAAATCTTTACTTTGGTATCTGTATAGTTAGGCAAACAAATCTCTATGATGATGCAACCAACCCCTCTTGGACCGACCATCAGTATGCTCACAATGACTCACAGGCTTTAGTGCCAGTTATCGTTGTTCGCAGCACTGCTTCTCGGGCTCCAACTTTCAGAAGTTGTATCACCATGTTATGACTGCTAGTCGACAGAGTTCGATTATTTAAGCCTAAGATCCTAGATATTTCGAGGGCTATATAAAAGGACTTCAGACAGCCGAAGTGAACCCTAATGATAATATATTAGTAAATTATTAATGTTTTAAAATACTGCTAGTCATTATGTGGTGTAATTTCACGATTGCTAGTAATTGAATTATGAGGTAAAGTCGTGACTTTTGTGAACAGTCACTTGTCAGTTGGTTTTCAAAGTTAGTGGAAAGGTAGATGAACTAAAGATTTAACATAGATATCGTCTGGTAAAAAGTGTAATAAAGTAGTGCAATTAGAGAAAATGGCAAACAGCAGTAAGAGCGGATCTTTTATTGTTATTTACCATTTAAATCAGTGGTTCCCAACCTATTTCAACTAAAGACTCAAACTTTAGAATAGTATTAGCTTTTTAAAACTTTTATGTTATATTGTAAAACAACACACTTCATTTATTTTATTTTATTTCAACCGTCTTGCGCACTGTCTGAAATCTCTCCGTGGCGCACCGGTCCACGAACCAGCGATTGAGAACAATGGATTTAAATAAAATAAATTAAAATTCCTGATGTACTTGTGATGTGCATTAACCACCAGCTTATTCCTCAAGGTATAAGAATATATACCACGGATTAGTTTACAGCACCTGTAACTGAGCTGGAAACATATCATCTTTAATAACATGGGAGTTTATAGAGCTTTACGTATGTTTGTTTTTGGAATTTCGCTAAAAAGCTACTCGAGGGCTATCTGTTCCTAATTTAGAAGTAACAGATTAGAGGGAAGGCAGCTACTAGTCAAAACCTCCTACCGCCAACTCTTTATCAACGAATAGTGGGATTGAGTGTCACATAATAACGACCCCACGGCTGAGAGGCCGAACATATTCGGTGATGGGGCTCGAACTCGTGACACGCGGATTGCGAGTGGAGTGCCTTAACCGTCAGGATATGCCATGGCCATAGTCTAAAGTTAAGTTACTTTCCCTTTTAGAAAGTTTTTAGTCAAGTCGTATTGGTAAGACGTCATAAATGTTTAAAAAACTTTACCTGAAGCTTATATATTTGCAGCAAAATAATAAAATGTTTCATTTTTTTATGTGCGTTTATAACATACCTTTTCAAAACATCTCTAAAGTTAACAACAGTGATATACACATTTTCTCAGTTATTATACGACTATTTAATTCAAGGGCAACATAATCTTATCAACCCAATACCAATTATTTTACACACGTGTAGCTATTTAAAACTAGTTTTACAAACGCCACATATAAATGTTTTTTGTTACAAGTTTCAAAGTGTAGTCTCTTCTTCTCTCTGCAGTATGGCTGTTTTTGACTATTCAATATAATTTTTTGTTTGTTTGTAGTTAAGCACAAAGCTACACAGTGGGCTATCTGTGCTCTGCCCACCACGAGTATCGAAACCCAGTTTCTAGCGGTTTAGTCCGCAGACATACCGCTGTGCAACTGGGGGCTTGTGTTACTGTTTTAATCAATATGCACCACAATATTCGTTTGTTTCAGGTATTAATGCAAAGTTATGCATGGGCTACCTGAGTTAGCCGTCTCTAATTTTGGACTGATATCCTAGATGGAAGGCATCAAGTCAACAACACTTATCACCAACTATTGCGCTACTCTAATGTAATAGTCGGATTTGGAATTTAGTAATATAATACATTCACAGCCCTTCAGTGCGAAGTGCAATTTTTAATTTATGTTTTTGTGATAAGGGGGAAGCGAACCATGGATCCTAGTATCCACAGCTCAGCATGGTAACGTCTAGGTCACGCCAGTCCACAGCACATTGAACTATTTTGATTGAATAGACAGATTTTTCTTTTAGTAATGACAACGCTACACCTATGATAAACCACGGAGAATGTTACAGAATATTCGAAAATAAATGGTTAAACTATGTATAAGTGAAGAGTCACGGCTTTAGTGAACTAAACGTATTTGAAGCACTTAGTGACTTAGGCTATTCTTTTACTGACTGTAACCGTTTTTTACAGAAGTTTCGCTCAATAAGGCAAGGCATGACTGAAATAGTGATTGAGATAAATAATACGATTTGGAATAGAACACCAGCAAATAGTTTTGTTGAAGGCATAACGAGTAACCTGTTACACATTATTTTCTGTATATCTTTTTTTTAATATCAAGTTCTTATTTTTTAGAAATCTTAAGTAGCCTATAAAAACCAATAGGATCCAGTAGGTAGCCCTGCATATTACAGTATTAAACAATGTATTCACCTTTCACGATCACTTGAATTTTTAACATACAAAAAAAAAAAAAAAAGAGATTTTCGAAATTGCAAATAAATGTAAGAAGTTTCAGTGTTCTTGCTCTTACACTTTTCAATCCTTGGCAGAACACATCGTCGTAACATTATTCGTTTTTTATAACTAATATAAGACAGTGTTGGGATTTTTTTCAAAGATGGCAGAACGTACCAACAAGGCTTAGTAAGTGTGAATTATTCTACAAACTGTAAACTAGGCAAAGGACAGACAGCTGAGGCAATCTTACAACTTCACAATTTATGTTTGTATAACGTTAATTTTACAACATATAAATAGGTTAATATAAAGAAGGTAAATTATAAGAATTAATGATACGTAGATATAAAGAGTGTAAACATGTGCTTAACAGGTATCCAAACTCACATAAACGAACGTATTAAAATCCAAAATGTAAACTGTAGTTGCAAGATTTGGTTACGGTACTAATGGTTTACCTTATGATGAGCTTTATGAAACCTAAATAAAATATAAGGCGAGCACCTTATTATTCTGAGAACAAAAAAACATATTACATTCAACTTCTATATATACAGTAATCTGTAATATCGATAAATTAATTAACATGTATTATATTAAATCAGAGATTGAAGTTCAACATAATAATTCAGCTATTTCTTCACATAAAGAGAACAGAAAAAATTGTGAACGACCTTTCAATTAAAAGGTTAGTAATTCTGAAAATTCACTGGACATAATGATCCCAATGCCCGTTTCAAAAATCCAGAAAAACATCATTGTACATGAAGGAGGAGACAGGATTTCTGCTCCCGTGTTCCTAATTATATTTGCATAAAACTATTTCAAATATCAAAAAAATTTGTAAGTTAGCAATTGTGATGAGCAGCCCATCTTTACAACATCAATTATCCTGTTGGGTATGTTTACTTCTTATTACTTTTTTTCCAAATAAAGATCCCTTTATAATGACCCATTAGGTTTGGAAGTTAGTTAAAATTGTACTTCAGTTCAGTATATACACTAGTCTTGCTTATATATAATGAAAGGTAAATTACAGCATTTAAGCTAATTTTTTAAACAGTTTTACACAACGGTTCAAGAAGAGTTTACTTCTATCAGTTTGAGAGAGTAATAGATCGAAAATTATTGGATGGAAATTAAACAAATTTATCCAGAACCAAATGATACTGGTTTATTGGAACAGAAGGCTAAGATAAAATATGAAAGAAACTGGTATACTTTATACTGGTATAAAGAAACTGGTCAGATTACTGGAGATCTGCAGATTATTTTGTCGAAATCCAACAGTTTCTAACGAAACGAAATAAACGAAACCAAAATTTAAAGACAATTTTATCATGTTAAGAAAAACAAAAAAGTATAAAAATACAAAAAAGTTCTTATAATAAACATACTACTTGAGATTACAAAAGAATATGAGAAAATGGTAGAAGCTCTGCATTAACGACAAACTGAGAATACTATTACTAGTTCATATCACACACAAAAATGATATCTGAAACTTGAAGAGACCATTATAACACCAAAACAAAAACTTAAGATATTCCTACAAATTAAACGTGAAAAGATAATCGAAATTACAGCCATTAAATTAAAATTTTAGAAAAAGTTTTTACTGCTTTCTTCTTACACACGCTGTCACTTTAACGTCCAGTAAGTACTACGTAACTTAACATACAAAATATATATGTATTGTGTATTTGAAATTTGCGGAGATTACGTGAAAATCGATTTATTTATTGTTAAAGTAAATCATTGTTTAATTAGTTAATTCAATAATCACCTGACAAAACCCTACTTCAAATGCAAAAGCGAATGTAAGCTGTAGCCTATAAATAATAAAGTGAAAAATAGTAACAAGAACAAAAAATTCTAAAAACAAAATTTTTTAAACGTGTCAAACATTTAAAGTCAAAGTTAGGTAAACACTATTAGCATACGAGATCCATATACTACATACAATACCAAACAAGTCATAATTTTACTGTTACATCCAAAGAACCATCCCGTGCTTCACAGGAAACACGTGCACCTAACAGCTGTCATGGCTGTCACTAGGGACCGACCCCGACGGCGATAGGGCTTACCCCCGCATCGCAGCAACGCGCAGCGAAGGGGAACGTTGGTATTCTTCAATTGATGCTCTTCTCACAAAACAAAAAAGTTTGTTCTAGCAAAGCACGTGGTGTTAAGACAACAGTATTATCATGCTTTCAAGTGAACTAGTAAACTCTGTAAGATTACACGCTAGTTTTTTCTTGTTGTTTTCGCTTCCTCCGAGTTCTGTGTCCATTGAACAAGAACAGCGTAAAGAAAAACAAAAATCCCCTACCGGTGTTCGAGCAACAAAAACAAAGAAGCTATTTTTAAATGAGCGAACCGTTTAATACAAAACAGCAGTTTTTTCCAATTTCTTCACGAAAACATAATATGTAAAACCGAAAATTCTATAGGGTATAAATGATAAAGCTTACCATGATTTTTATCCATTCGTAGTTAACATCTCGAATCATACTCACTGCTTGTCCGCTTCCCTTTGTCCCGAATCCGTTCCCGACCAACTTTGTCCGAGGGCCGTATGTAAATTAGCCCGCTCCAGTGATCACGTGATTTAGCAACTCGATTTTTCCGGTTTCTTCATCCGCTGAACTTGTATGGCTGACTTGGGTGAATGAGCAGCAACCACAAAGAAACAGAATGAGGTGAGAAGAGGATGGTTGACGGCTTGATCGTACCCGGGACACTTTACAGGCAGGAGAAATAAACTCCTTCCTATGATGTGTATCGTCGACTAATGCGCGTCACGAGATAATAGTGATATTAGAAACACTGAAGCAAAGCGGAAGGATTTCGGAACACACTGGATCTTTTGTTTTGTCGGAGTGCCATTTATAATTACTATTTGCATTATAGGTACTTATCTATATTTTTCTTTGCAAATATTCATTAGGCAGACTACTGTCAGATATAAACTGCTGTGAACTGGTAGAAATACAAATCAATTGAAATATTTATATAAAAAACGCGAGTAGTACACGTCGGACTCATTACTACATTCAAATTTACAATTATCAAATAATATATATATATTTCATTTAACATTTTCACATTGATATTTAACTATGAGAGGGAAAAATCGATTTCAGGCTTGATTTTAAGAAGAGACAACTTAGAAGTTTGAGTCAAAAATGACTTGTTGACATCGTTGAGGCTATATATATATAGGGAGGTGGAAATTGATAATATTTTTCCGAGGAAAAACTTTATTTGACCGGAAATAGTTCAGTTGTTTTGGATATAATTTGAAAGTTTCCTTGAAAATGAGATATAGAAATAAATAAATATATTAATATAATTTACAAAAAATACACATTTTTATTATTCTGATGCTATTGCATAAATGTTAATAAATGGTAGAACACTTTACTATTAAGAAACAATTGTAATATAAATTTCTGCCGTCTTTTATCTTACTATTTAACGCAATACTCCGCTATTGGTCTAGTGAATAAAGTTGAACATTGTATCATCCAAATATTTGGGAGTCGATGGCAAGATGAGAAGATATACAAAATACTGTAATAAAAATCCTATATTATCTCGAAAGCTATTGCCATGCCATCTGCTGGTAGCTTTTGCAAATGTAATTTCAATTATGTTCTAGATCAGTGTTTCTCAACCTTTTTTTGCTCGTGGCTCCCTTTTGAGTTTGATTTATTTCTGTGGCCCCATTCTTCGTGGACGCTGTTAATTAGGAAAAAAAAGTTACTTTATTTCCATACTGTTTATTTATAATATTATTTTTGTTTATAACACACTGTTCACTTATACAAGTAAAAATATTCTGTTAATCACTGGCATTTTATTCAGTGTGATCCTTGGGCCTGATGAACACTTGAAAGTTTTGGAATGTCCGGTTGTAGTGTGGTCAGTGATAAGCGAAGTTCACCTCTCTTCATAACATCAAGGAGGTTACGTATTTTTGATAGAAAATAAGTCACCCGACTAAAACCAGATTTAACCAAATAAGATGTGGGAAAAGCGATAAAATACAACTTTGCCTTCTCCCAGAGCTGTGGAAACTTATTAGCTATTTCACTACTAATCCAGAAATAACGTTTGTCACGTTTGAATCTAGCTTGAGCTGTTATATCACTCTGCTGCTCTTGAGAATCAGTCGAAAACATTCACAGATACCAGACAAACATTTTGATTGTTACTCCAGTACTAGTCGCGTCTGTTAACTTAACGTCTGAGCTGTGAGGGATATGGGGATAAGGGAATCTTCGATTCAATTTCAAATATTTTATTTGGGCAGTGAAGTTTAGGTGGCCCATCAGAATTTACTGTGGCCCCCTAATTTTCCGTCATCCATGTGTGGCCCCTTAGAAACATGGCGTGGCCCACGTTGAGAACTACTGCTCTAGATAATGTTTATGAAACTATTTTGTGTTATTTCTCTAGGTTTTTGAGAATTTTTTTTTAACTTTTAAAATAAGTGAAACACTTACGTATTAAGTGTTATTATTGTTATATAAATATTAAGCAAATAACGGTGTTTCTGAAGACGTCATTTGGACAGATAGTCGTACATTATATTTGAAACAGTTGTTTACTGATCATTTTTTAGACTTGTTTATAAATAATGCAAGATTTTGGTGAACATTTTCTAGGAACTGAAATTTTGGTATCGGTTAAAAGGCTTGTTAGAGACTCCTAAAGTTCAAAACTCAGACATAATCATCCCTAGTTTAGAACTGCTGACTATAGGGAGAACAATAAATCTGTATCGACTTCTGCTTATCATGTGGCTACTCTTATCCGAAAAGCGGTATTGATTGTTACAAGTATAACGTTTCCACAGCTCAAAGAGCGGTGCGTGTCTAACAGTATATCGTGATCCGAACCTTGGATCTTTCGAACCACTAACTGGCACACCTATTACGTCCGGCTTAATCAAAATTTTACTATGAATGAAGAATATATTTTCAATCGAATTTTATGAAGTACTTTGGCAGAATCAGAAATATTATTTTGACATTTTTTAGATTGTATAGTTAGTGCTGCTTAGTTTTCGTGAAGTTAATTTATATTTAATCACAAGTCATTAGATAATATTTCATTACATTTATTTCTTGATTTTTACTTTCTAAACAAAATACAAGTTATACAATTTAGCAGTAAGATAATATTTTACCTCTTGTGACTTTATCGTGAATCCTCTTTAATCTTTATTAAAGGGGAAAATAACTGGAATTCTAAAGAAATACTGGGTGAGCTAGTTTTCAAAGTTTTAAGAAATGTCTGCATGAATCAATAATTGGAATTTGTCCGAAATGTCGTATAAACCGATCTTATCTATATTGCCAACCGTAGTGTATGTCCGAGCGTTCGTCTGTCAGCCATTTACAGGGCCGCTTCCTGCGCTGCGTTTGAAAAGCTACGCACGCAGGCAAAGCTGAACATTCACTTTTGAAATAACGGGAAAACAGGCACGAATAATGTTGATGCCAATTTTTTTCTGAAGCAGGATATTCTACACTAAATTATTAGGAATCGATGACACTATCATTCATATTTCAAAATGTGACGTAACTTAAAGAACAAAAATATAGATTTACCGTATGTTATTGTTGAGCGGCTCTTAGTATGACTGAAATGCTCAAGAATTACTTTTCCCTGTGGACGAAATAAGTAACTCAGAACTTTGTCTCTGAGTGAAACAAAGAGTGTAACACGATTAACTATTTTAAAGTCCGTGAAATAATTTAAGTTGATAGATACTTAAACTTTTCCCGTCACTGGGGACGGGCGCTTTTGGTTGTATACCATGTAATCCAATAGTAGAGTTGTGGAAATACTGATGGATAAAACTTACGTTTGAGGAAACGTTATTCGACGTTTCATGACAGAAATAATGATGAAAGCAGTTGGCTAGAGAAGAAATTGGTGAAACTCAACATGAAAGTAATATAATTTTTGGCGTAAAACTAATATAATTGTTTAATGAAGTGTTCAGAGAACAGAATTTATTTTTATAATTATGAATTTGTTTTATAGAGTTGAACATGTAAGAAACGAAGCACAAAAATAAACGTAAGTTGATATTTGCTATTATTATTATCGATTATTACTAGGAGTTACTAATTTGTTAGTAGTTATGTCACTTACTACCAAATCTGTAATTGAAAAGAGCGTAACTTCAGGAGTTAAGATTACAAAAAAAAGAAAGAAATGATACAGAAGTTAAAGGATTCAGTAAAACTATTGAAATGTGTGAATTTGATGAATATCTAGCGTATTAGAAGCATGTAATCTACATGGAAAAGGTGCAGAGAGTGTAGGGGTTTTAAACAGTAGCGAATATAGTAGTAGAAGTGATTACAGTGTGAAAAATAAAAATAAACTCAAGCTTAGTATAGAAACTCCACGTTATAAATCTAATTAGAGAGAGAAAGGGCAAAAAGTAAAGATATGTTATTAAGTTCGGAAATGAAAACACAGAGTTAAATTTAGGTTAGAGAGACAGAAAAAAAAAATAGAACCACAATTTAGAAATGGAAACATTAAATGTTGACTATGAACTGATGTGATAGAGCCACTGGGTAAGAATGTTAATGTCTCCTAAATCATTAAAGAGATTTATTGGTATGGTTACCTAAGATTATTCATATAGACCGTATGTGGTCACAGGGGAATAATATAAGTTGAAGAGAATTTGTGGAATTTTGACAAATTAAAAGTGTGCTGCTTTATAGCAAAGATACAATTTGGCACTGGAGTCATGTCACTCCAAATTTCGTAACTCGTACAAAGACAATAGGGCCTTGTGGTAGAGCTTTGGATTTAGCAAGCAGGGTTCGAATCCATGCAATACCCCAAAATATTCCCCACACTTTAAAATGTGGGTACAGTATAAGAGTTTGTTTGTTTGTTTGAAGTTAAGCACAAAGCTACACATTGGGCTATCTGTGCTCTGCCCACCACGGGTATCGAAACCCGGATCCTAGCGTTGTAAGTCCGCAGACATACCGCTGTGCTACTGGGGGGCACAGTATAAGAGAGAGAGAGAATCAATTTGTAAGCGAAAGGTAGGATGCTGTTGACTGGCTGCCTTACATCCTATCAGTAGTTCAAAAATAGAGATATAAGCAGATAGCGTTAGTAGCTTTGCCATAAAATAAAAATATATAAAGGCAATGATGAGAGTTATACCGAGTAGTAAATCTATCTAAAAGAGAGTTTAGATATATTTAGTTTTTAAAGGCAAATGAATTTGAAAGCGTTAGAACAGTTAACTAAGAGTTAGATATGTGAGTCCATGATAAGAATTAATTAAAAACCTCTGGGGAACCAGCCGAGTTAAGTGGTCAATAATCAACTACACGTAACTCACTTAGACCTAAAGATGCTGAAAATAAAACAACTGGGGATAGGACAGCTAAGAGTACAAAGCCAGAAAGTCAGTCAACCCAAGCCAATAAATGGATTGTTAGCCAATATTCGTAAGTTTATGCTTGGGGCAAATCTGGTCACATTACATTATAATTTTATGAAAATACACTCCTTAGGTGAAAGACACCACTGGAATTACTCCTGGATAAGAGTGTTTTAATGACACTAGAACACTACTGGTAGTCGAATGCTGAACGAGGGTAATCCTAATATTTATTGTAAGTAATATGAATGCAGAACATTTGCAGTTTTGTGTTATTGCTCTTATAAATGATCATACTGTCTATGCTTTGATCTATACAAGTAGTTCCTTTACCTTGATAAAATCACATTCAATAGAGAAGAACTAGTTCGCGGAGGGCGAATTGCTCACTTTATAGGAAAACTAGAACATGTTCCTATTGCTAAAAGTATATGTAGAGAGCCAGTCCAGTGATTATTAACATCTAGAAACCGATGATATCTTAAAGAGTGACTCGTATGGTACAAGTACATCATTTTCATTTCTATCTAACACTAGCAGATTAATTGTAAAGAGTTCATAGAAATATCATTATGTTCCCCAACATGCTAATG